GTCTGACCACCCTCTTGTGAACAGCTTTTTCCTAATAACAAAACTGATGTCACCTACCTTGACTTTCAAAGGACCTCTGACAGTCCCACACAACATCCTTTATTGTTAGATTGGAGAGATACGGATTTGGTGGATGGACTATGGGATGGATAAGGAATTGGTGGATGGTGACATGCAAGCAGTTGCATTCCAATGGCCAGCATCCAAAGGGAGATGAGTAACAAGCACTGCCTGTCCCCCAGGGGTCTGCTGGGTGCAATACTATTGAACACCTTTATTAATCACACAGCCAATGCTCCTGAGGGCACTCACAGCAGGTTTGCAGATGACACCAAACTGAGAGGTGTGGTGGACACTCTGGAGGGAAGGGATGCCATGCAGAGGGACTGGACAGGCTTGAGGAGTGTACCTACATGAAGTTCATTTAGTTCAAACAAGGCCAAGTGCAAAGTTCTGCACTGGGGCTGGGCAACGGCCAACAATCAGTACAAGTTTAGAGATTTAAGGTTTGAGAAAAGACCTGTAGAGAAAGGCTTGGGGATATTGGTAGATGAGAAGTTGGAAATTAGACCACAATTAATGCTCCCAGCCCAGAGAGTCAATTGTATCCTGGGATGTACCAAAAAAATCAGGGCGAGCAGGGCGAGGGAGGTGATGCTGCCCCTCTACTCCACTCCCATCAGACCCCACCTGAGGTACTGCACACAGCTTTGGGGCCTGCAGTGCACGACAAACATTGACCTGTGAGAGTAGGTCAGAGGGGAACCACAAAAATTATCGAAGTGGTGGAACACCTCTCCTACAAAGGCTGAGAGACTTAAGGTTGTTCAGGCTGGAGAAGGAAAGGGCTTTGGAGAGACCTTACTGCAGCTTTTCAATATATGAAGGGGGCTTATAAAGATAGACTTTTAAAAGGATAGACTTTTTTCACATCCTGTACAGACAGGACAAGCAGCGAAGGTTTTAAACTGAAAGATGGCAGATTTAGATTGGACATAAAGACAAAATTCTTTACTATGAGGGTGGTTAAACAATGGAGCAGGTTGCTGACAGAAGCTGTGGGTGCTCCATTTCCTGGAAGTGTTTGAAGGCATGTCAAAAGTGCTCTTAGTAACTGGATTTAGCAAATTATGGCCCTGTTTATGGCAGGGAGGTTGGACCTGGATGATCTTCAAAGGTCCCTTCCAACCCAAATAATTCCATAATTCTATGATCACTTTAGTTATAACAAGGTCCTCTTCAAAGCCAATTTCTAAAACATGACTTCCGGGAAACAAACTGAAACATAACTCTCCTCTATGGGAGTATTAGCACTAAATGTTGCAAGACAGGCCTTTAAAAGCAAGAAATTACCAAGAGCTTTCTGTTCTACAACGAAGGCATAGCAGTTGAATCAATTTCAAGACTTAATGTTGAGGGGTAAAGTTATCTGCATAAATATTTCATCAGACAACTACTCACAACATCTGAACACATGCCAGAAAGTAGTGACTATTAAAGTCAGGCATATTTGGCCAGATTTACCATGAAACATGACAGGCACTTAAATATCCACAATTTGCCTATATGGCTGTATGGCAATCTGATTTAAAAAAGCTTTTGTTTGTGCTCACCCATTTACAAATCTCCCGTTAATCCAGGGCTCTGCTTTTTTGCCTTAATGTATATACCTAGGAATAAAACCCTGCTCATGCAAAGAATATACAACACCTGAGAGACAGAAAGCAAAAGAGCCACAGAGGAACTGAAGTTGCTGCAGATCAGAAAGGAACAGAGGAGATTAAAGACTGAGTGGCTGCAGGAGACCCTGATTTCCACAGTGACTGCAAACACTGCACCTCACTCATTCCAAACATAAGATGACTTGCAGACTCCTTCAAGACATTCTGCTGTGGAATGGGTTTTCTATAACAGTTTAGTACAAAAATTTGAGACCAAGAATTGCATTACTATACATTTTCCCTTGTGAATCTAGAAATTAACTTACAGCAGTACAATCCTGAAGTCCACAGAAAAATACAGTCCTTCTATTTGGCTTTTAGAAAACACACAGGCATCTAGCCAAAACAGACAGTTCCCAGAGCCAGTATGATATGCCCATCACAGAATAACCAGTGCTACTACAATCAAAGCTGCTATTCAGGCAAAGACAACAGGCTCACTGCCTGATTAACTCATACAGTGGGAAGTCCACAGACAGTCTGACAGCTACTGAAAAGAAAGAAGAAAGATGTACACAATATGACAGAGGAAGAGCCCTTAAATGGGAAGTTTTACATATCAGGAGACGACAAAATGACCCTGTATTTTATAAAGACATAGGTGGTAGATTTTTTTTTTTAAATATTCTTAAAAGAAACACACACACAGACTTACAGATGTCAGGGCAAGTCCAAAACTCGTAGACTGATGCTTCAACTGTATTTCAATTTTGTGAAGTAGAGCTTCAATCCTATCTTCCTCAAAACCTTTCCTTTGGGAAGGGGCAATGAGAAAAGGAAATAATATCCATTAGCACTGATCATAACCGAAGTGAGGTTATGAAAATGAATTAGGAGAACAATAAAGGAAGCATTACAACATAACATCTTTCACATTGAACAAAAATGGATATGAAATAATGTAATCATGTTGTATCATTTAGAGAAACTGAACTAACATCAAACTCCTGAAGGTTACACTGATGAGAACAAACTACAATAAAGGAAGTAGCAGACACAAGTTGTACGAGTATTGAACAATATTACTTCTGCTTTAGTGCCTTTATTGTAATATAACTAGATTTTTAAGGCATGTTATTATATACAAGTCTGCATTATTACACACCTACGTATTATTATGTTAACTAATACTATTCTTAAAAAATAAGCATTACTCACACAATAACTTCATCGACTGTTCTGTCAATTATCTGTTTCACAGTATCAATGTCTCTTTCAGCAATACCCTGTAGACCCACACTGAAATAAGCTTCTCTTGTTGAGCCATTAAACCTAGAATAAAACATAACCAACTCAGTGATAAGTACTAGAACTTAAGCATTAAAGCTGCCAACAAAGGCAAGAGAAGGGAAAAAACACCCATTGTTTCCACATATACAAACACAAAAGATTTAAAAGCTAGATAGAAAGTAAAATAATTACCAAAGAGGCAAGAAATGGAACTTAATAGCATTTTTTGTTCAATTTCAATAGTAGTAGCCACTGTCAAGAAAACCCACAGCATATGGTTTTAGAGAAAGAAAAACAGCAACAGAAGTAAAGCTGGTATTTTCTGTTCATCTTCCCATTCTTCTGTAATTTCTTTCAGGTAAAGAAGTCTTTTTAAGGTGAAAATTTTAGCTGTAACACCAAACACATACATTCTACTACAAGCAGGTGAGTGAAACAACACTTCTAAAGCAGTATTGGTAAAGTAAGTGGTTAAGGTGAAGTTTTCCATGTTTACTGCAATTGTTACCAACGGTATTTAAAAAAAAAATATAACAGTAAAGACAATTCTGTCCAAACTGTCAGGCAAGGTTAACCACAGAGCTCATCTTTATAGAAATACAATGGCACTTGCAGAAATACAGAACACCTAGCAATTCAAAGCCAACACACAAAAAGCAATAGGTGCTCATGCACTAGTAAACAACCAATATTACATGCCTAAAAACCACAGAAAGAATTCAGTGGCAGGCTCAGATCCTGGATTCTGCAATACTCATCTCTGGGCTCAAACTTACTCTTGTAGATTCATCAATACAGTCACTAAGGCAAATTAAAGCCAGCTCACATCCATATCAATCCAACCAACATGGAAAAGGACCGGCTGACAAAAAATACAACATAATCCCTACTTCGGTGTCTAAAGCAGGATTTCTACTGCCATGCTCTAGAGTATGAAGATGCCTGCAAAGCACTGGCACACATGACACAGGACTTGCAGAAAGCCAACTACTTATTGCAGAAATAGGTCAAGCCAGGCCAAGTAAGACATTAAAATTATGGATGAGTGGGAAATTGAGGTTTCCCACTCAAAACACTTGAGAGTCACTGGAGAAAAGGCATGATTTTAGTCATCCTCAAGTCCAAAAATCAGTCAAATGAATCATGCCTGGAAAGCACTTCCTTCTTTGCGCTGACAAAAAAGGCAAATTCTGTACTGAGGTGATGGCAAGTTAACAGCACCTGATTGCACAAAGGCACATTTGTGAACAAACCTACCTACTACTAAACGACAGAATTAAAGCAATAAAAGCAATGTGGTTACAGAGAAGAGCTCACAAACACTTCTACATAATACTTAAATGTCCAGTATGAAAAACCCAGGTAAATTAAGGCACTGAAGGTATTCCATATTTTACTCTATCTATCCATTTTTATGGTTCATAAGCTGTAAACAATACAAGTTTGATTAACCAACTTAGCTTCTATCCAAGTGCTTCAATGAGACAAAAGTTACATCACAGAAAGCTTTACAGCTCACCAGGAATATATCAGGAAAATATCTTTTATGATATTTTAATATTACAGGGAGATTACTCTGGTGTAAATTGCTTGTATAAGAGATGAGTTCTTCCAACTTAGAAGGGCTTTTTAGTTTTTCTAACATTGCTTCTAGTAATGAAATGTGAATTGCAACACTTACCCAACGTCAGGAGAAAAATCTGTACCAACACCAGACTCAATTAAGGCTTTGTAAAAAGGAGAATTTGGCCCATCAACCAACAGTGAAGACAACAGGCTTAGGGTGAACGTTTCAAAAGTGTCTGTAATACTGAAGAAAAACAATTAGTTCTTAAAAACCATATGTGACACCCAGTATCACCGAGTCCATTTCAACAGAACTGGAAAACAAAG